ACACACACCACACACACAAACACACACACCACACTAAATACCAAAAGCATTCATATTTTTTGAGCATTAGCTTGTGTGTGTGTGTGTTTGTTAGAGCTGAAGCATGCGCTGCCAGCGAGGACACTGTGTACTGTGACATCACTGTCTTCTCTCCACTGAGTGCCAAAGTCTCTCACTCCCTTAAATTTGCAGCTCTGGAGTCTGAGAGACTTAACCAAACATTATTAGTGCAACCAACACATTCCTAAACTTTAACAGGAAAGTAGGAAATAATAGATTTGTTTTATTTTGTCCCACTCAGTAAAGAAATAGGAGAGAGAAGAATCAGTCAAATCTCTTAAATGACTTTTACTTGACTTTAAGGTCTGTTACAGTATCAGCAGCGATGTTGATCATGTTGACCAGCCAAACAACACAGTCACAACTAAATCCACTATTGCATCACAGAAATCATCAACTCTTATGTACCCAGCATATTTCTTTTCCTTGTTTACAGACACACGTCAGTATTTCTTGTAGATCGTGTTGATGCATTTCTTTTCATTCTGAGCTTCCTTTAAGTCTGCCTGAATTTGCTGTTTTTTGTTTTATATATCGGCTTCACATCACTACGCTGTACTGATTCCCTTGTGTTTCCCACCATGAACACTGATGCCGGCGAATGTTTCCTTTTATTCAAATGCTGTTGCTGAGATATTCCTCAAAGATGGATGCGTTGTTACTTTTGATAGTGGAGGTGTGACATGTGACATTTGCAATGATTCCCTTTTTTTTTAAATGCGGATAAATTTTTTCTCCAAAATTGAGGCTATGCCCTTTATGATTGTATAATGAAAGATGAATGATGTCAGTAAAATGCATGGCTTCAGGTCAGTCCTAATTTCACCTCGGTCAGCTCAGGAAATGACTGACGCCAGGATTGTTTGCAAACTGAACAAATGGAGCCTGAGCTCATCTTCGAGGCTGTCCCGCGTTCTATGGTTTCAACTCCCGCCGCAGGAGTCTCCAGATATCACGCCTCTCTCAGATTTTAATGCTGTGATTTTAAACAATTCTATTTCTTCTTAGGAGCTTTCAAGATATTTCTATCTTTCTAACATAGATTTTAACTGAAATAGCCCCGTTCTCGTGCAAACTTTACGTCACACTCACACACAGTCTAAATTACACTCCCCGTTACTCGTATTAAAAGAAGGAGCACAATCTGATTTAATTTATTCAGAGTCATTAAATGTACATGCTGAATTTTCAGGAAGGGTGGTGGTGTCAATGTTGATTGTTTGAACACTCATGCACTATTTTTGCACCAAAAGCAAAGCCCTTAAATGTACAGAACCAAATGAGGTCAGACAGAAGATTTAGCCTTGATATTGACACATGGCCAATATGTTTGCTCTTGAAGCTCTTTCTGGTCTCCACGTCCCGGGTCGAGCCTCCTGCGAGGCCCCTGCAGGGACGTTTAGTAGCAGATCTTTCTAATTGACCAGTCACTGAAATTGTTGGCTGTTTGTCCATTATCATCATCATTTCAGGTCTTGTTTCATTCCAAAGCATCACAAGTGCCCGCACTATTAATTAGGTGCCATTGTTCATCGTGTATTTCGTATGTCACTTACTGCATCTTTAATGAATGAAAGAGGGGATTGTTTGGCTGTTCCCTCTCTCTCTGTGCTTAAATTATATGGGTTCATTGTGTGTATTTGGATCAAGTGTTCACTGTTTTTCTGTAATTCAACAACAAAAACAACAAGACACTGTGCCAACCCTTAAGATCTACTATTTTGCAATTATAGAGAACTTTAAAAAGTGCCTCACTGTAATTATTATCCAACATTACCTATGTTATGTGGTGGAACCATTGCGCTGTACTAGCATCGCCTGCAGATCAATGGCAAACCTTTATGTTTGATTAATTGATAAGAGTCAAAACCAAGACTGGGTCAGTTATCCTTTCTTTGACATTCCCTAGATTTCTTGATTGTGCAGATGAAACTAAACATGAGGTCACTTTTTTAAAATATTAAACTTCTTCTTGATTTAATGGCTTCATCTCATTCCATATCACTCGAACATGGGATCCATGATAAGTAATCAATTGTGGGTGCCCAAATGTTGAACAAAAAGTCATGAAATCTTCCCCAAAAACAAAATTAAAGTAGCGTTTTTGATGCATTTCACATCCCTTTATTCCTGGAGCTTTGATCTAGTGAAGCATGTTGAATTCCCTTGACATGGAGTCCTGAGGAAGATGAGGCTCCATGCGTCCCTCTTCTTCTCTCCACCTTTATGTGTCCCTCTCATCGCTATATTTCCCTCTTTCACTTTGTCCCTGGACCATTCTTTCCCAGTGGTCACTGCCCACTCCCTTTTGTATATAAAGTAAGGTTATTTATATTTCATTCCTGTCTGCTGCCTTGCTTATTTTCTTTTCTTCTCCCCTTCTTTTCTTTTTTAAGATGTATATTGAACTGTATCGGGACCATTTTGAAATGTATTAGAGATGTTTCGTTTTGGCCATTTTTAATTTGGTATAATTGTCTTAAGCAAATCCTATTTTTTAATTTGCCTGTTTGTTTCTAGTGTTTTGTTATTCAACATTTGAATATATGTATATATAATTATATATATGATAAAATTATATATAATTATATAATGCCAAATGGCCTTTCTAAGCAAGATACTGTTCAAAACCTAATAAAGTGCTTGAGATTTTAGTATTTGTATGCATGAATTGTCTTTCGAACACATCGTTGCAGTTGTGTCAGTCGACTCGTGTTGTGTCGATGCTCATTACATCTCAATGATGACTAATGGAGCAGTGGTGAAAAATAATTGCCGGTCGTTCATGTAGCTTATAGATCAGCAGCCTGTCTTCTTGAGTGTTGCTCTTGAAGGGTCTTCAATCAGCATTTAACCCCTCACCCTCAATCAAATACTAATGTGCTTTTTGCACCAAACAGTTATTAATGAATTGAATTGTTGTAGATTAAAGAGAACGACCTGGCTTACATTGGTAGTTGGAATACATGTCAGGACACATTTTGTTTATGTTTATTGTCGTATCTCTGCTGACTGGATCTGGTGTTTCTCAGTGTAGTTACAGTTTCTAATGTCGCTGTAACAGTTGAGCCTCTCGGTTGAGCAGCGGTTCAATAATCATTGGTTATAGATGGAAAGATATTAGTACAATTATTTTTTAATGAAAAGAAATGCAATGCATTTTACTTGGACAATGTATGATGTTAACTGTAACTCAGAGTGTGCAGGTCCACGTTGAGCGAAGAGGTTTGATGCTGCCAGCACCAATTAGAGAGGCACAATTTTTTTTTTTATTTTATAACATACAAACACTCAAGTTAAATAAATGATGTCGAGGCTTTAGAGTATCTACAACAAGCGAGTACGAGAACAGCTTTGTCAACTTCAACTTCTCCATTAGATGAACTCTGTTGATTCCACACTGGGGAAACGTACTTGTTACAGCAGCAGATATAATCAGAATGAGATAAGAAAAGACATTAAAGTACAAATAGAATAAAATGGGGGAAAAAAAAGAAAAACATATTATGTAAATATTATAATGCTTTTACTACAGATATAAATATTTGTAGATACATAAACTTCAGTAAAGTATATTGGCATTAGGACAACAAAAACAGAAGATACTTACACTTGACTTAATAAATGAAATTACCCAAATTTCCACCTTTACTAACTACACAATTATAATGCTACACATACAGTGACAAGAGTAATGACCAAAATAATAAAACCTATACCTTGTTCTTCTTTATGAGAACATTCATCCAAACTATTGCATAATTTAAGTCAATATATTTTCAATGCAGGAAGTTTCTCTTAATCACATTACATTTCACGATTACTACTTTTAGTTAAACAAATGATCAGAAGACCTCTTCCTTCACTGTCTGCTGTCACCTTAAACCAGAACTATAGTTATAATATTGTAGATATAATAAAAATAAAATAAACTGATACTGAACACCCCATGAAATAAATCAAACCAACTGGAACAAAGCAGTACAGACACCCATGTCCACCTGCCCAGACAAGACAGACAGGTACGTCTGGGTGCAGGGATCACATCTCCTGGGTGTCACATGTTGAAGTCATCTTCCTTCTGACCAATCCAGTGCCTGAGCTGGTAGATCAACTGAATCAATAGCCACGCGTCACACTGTCAGTCACTTCCTGTGTCAGAACCAGCTCTGCATGTAAAACTCTGTAAACATTCCCCCTCTAATTGAGAGTCGTCGCATCGTTTGTTCCTCTCGTCTCCAGATGCCCCTGAGTTTGCCCTGACTGAGG